TTATTTGCCGAGTCCTTTGGGTATTGTTTTGATTTTGTTTTTTTTTAAACTGGGATTTTACTGTATACATTTGCGTCAAGAGCAATTTGAACCTGGGGAAATCTGTATTTGACATAACTACAATTCATATTCTATCTTCTATTGCAATGTGTGGTTGTGCTAATATCACCCCCAAAATATGAGCAGGAACATACTATATTGCCACTGTTATAACGGCATTTGGCCATAAGGCTGTGAGTCATCTTCAGGAAGAAACCTGGACACAAGCCTTTTCTTCAGGGACAGGCGGAGAAGTAACATTAAGGCATTTCAATTGGTATAAACAAACTAGCTTGCAAAGTTAGATCTATAGCGTCATAGTTTTCTAATGTAATATAATGCCTGTAGGAAATTCTGGTTTTATCAGTAAGTGGAAAATCTTTTTAAATTACAAACTTGACTATTTTTGTTAAATTTGATATCCTACATTCTCTCTGCAAGTAGGACATTGAATTATAATTTCAGGCAGCACGTGTATCTAAGACAGCTAAGGAATGTTGATCATGTTTGCTGTGGGAAGCGTGGCACTTAGGGGCTGTCACTCATCTCTGTTAGTAGAGATGTAGTGGCCTTAAGGACCACTTAAGGTTTTGTCTTTATCAAATGCACAGGTAAAACGTTTGTGTAAAAAAACAAACAAAAAAACCCCAACCCCAAACAAACAAAAAAACCCCCACAAAAATCAATCACTATCACACTAAGGTTTGTTAGGCTTTTATAGAGATGAATCAGAGAGAAAAGTCCTGTAGTTAAATTATACGCAACCAACATCATTAGTGATAAATAGGATGAATTGAACATGTCCAGTTTTAGCAGAAGCAATAAACATCAGTGACATTCTATATGAAACTTCCATATTCATAAAAATTAGGTAAGAGAGCATTGCAACTCGAAATACTTCAGCGTCATTAACTGCTTGAATCTTGTGATAATGTAATGTTTTCCAATCTTGACAAGAGCCACATGCACTATTTAACAATATTCACAGTCGTTAGTTCAAATGGAAGTTCAGACTCTCTTTTTAAGCTTAATTGTTCTCAAAATTTTTCCTCAATTTTCTGGTTCATTTTTACTTTAATATTGTTTTCCTCAGTCAAAAATTCTTATCATGCATCACAAGTAGCAGGAAGATTTTAAAAAATAAGATCTAACAGCTGAATTGAAGCGTTTGTTTCAAACCTGTTAACTATTTTGGTAAAATTTAAAAAGCTGAATCCCCCTTACAATTGAATATTTTGAAAGCAAAACATTACACTGATGGCATGTCCGAAGCTGTCCGTCAAGCACATCACTTGCTCCCTGTAGCTACTAGTGGCAAGCAACTTGTGTGTGGGTTTTTTTACACAATAAGCACTAATTTTAAAGTTATGAGACACTGATTTTAGTGCAGTTTTAATAAAAAACATACTATTTATGAAAGCAATACCGATGTAATGCAGTAGACATACTGCAAGGAAATAAAAGAAGGATGTGCCACATCTTCCTAAAAAAGCTTGCATTAAAAATTGAATACATATAATCAAATTTTTGCATGAGGTGTCCATGTGATTAATAATTGTTATTAACATTTCTGTTTTATGGTATCCTGTAGAATACCATAGTTTTCTAAAGCATAATTCCAGTGTGTTACCAGACACTTTTTGACATATGTAAAATTCATCGTTAGGGATGCTTGACACGCCTCATGTTGTTCTAGGATATGCCTGTTAGGGAATTCCTTTCCTGCTTTTACAGTTAGTTGTCACCTTCATCAGTTGGTACTATAAATACTTGGTTCTATTTATTTATTTATTTTTACACTGTTTTGAATTCTTTTCCTTCTGTGTTATGCTTAAGACCTTAAGGAAAGTATGAGGGTTTATTTTGCAACTTGCGCTAGACATCACTCTGATAATGTTTCCTACACCAATCATTTCAGCATTTTTAAGTTTCCTGAGGGCCTTTCTGAATTTTGTCATTTAATGGTCTTCTAAATCAATACTAACCTCCAGTAGTCTGTCTTTCTCACACATTGCTAACAGCTTGTTTGGGGGTCTAATTGTGATTTTTCAGATGAATTCATCTTTGTCCATTTTCTCAGAGCGTTGGCCTCATCCACCAGTTGGACAAATGCTTTCTGGAGCCAAGCTAGTAACCTTTATTTAAGAACTCTTCATCCATTCGTTGTTCAGGGCATATCGATTGATAATAGAAAGGCTTCTATACCAAGTTCTCCTGTGGGTATACCAATGTCCATGAAGCAACTGGGTATCAGTTAGTGCTAGGGCTGTGGTCAGGGCAAAAGGGAAGATGCCTGCAAAGCAACTGCGTGTGCAGTTTCCAATGGGATATTTCTGAGTAAAAGAAGAATTATAGTCTTGCCTACCTTATACCAACAGGCTACATTCATACCTACATGAGAGGAGTGCGAAAAGGCATTTTGAGGTGTGTGGAGCATATCAGAGCAGGGGGACCAGTTGTGTCGGTATTGGTGGAGCTTCATGGTTAGTGCTGGGAGGTATCACTTGTACTGCTGCTTGTTGCTTTCCCTTTTCCTCCATCTGGAGCCTGGTTTAATATTTGCTCTTTCACGGAATTATTGTTGGTATGGTGGTGCTAGATGTTGCTGCTTTAGGCTTCGAATATGGAAATAACATCAGTGAAATAATGTCAGTGAAACATCTTTCTCCCATCTGTAGTGCTAAACAGACTGTTCCACGTCCAAAAAGACATCCTTTTATTTGAGAGACCTAGGCATTTTTGTCAAATATCTAACTGGATAACTGCTGTAAGAATAGAAAATTATCTCTCTTAAGACAGCCACTCCCATAGCATTTGAGACACACTGGAGTCCTATAGAAAACAGCCGCTTTAGAAATGCATTGGCTCATGCTGCTGGCTGTGTTGGGCAGCCCGCAGGAGTGAGTCACAGCCTGGGAGGATGCTCGTGCAAACTGCTCAGGCTGTGGGGATGCACTGTGGCCCAGTCAGAGTGGTGGATCAGTTAAGTTAATCAAACAGTTTATTATAGAATGGACAAAACAAATATAAGAAACTGATTTAATGTACTGTAAGCGTTACTGGATGCCAGAACCCAACTGATGGGTGGGGTTGCACAAACACTTGGACTGTTCATGTGAAGATGTGAGTGCAGGTAGTATTTTTACACCAAACTCTCTTCCTTCTCTGCTAAATTGTGCTGCAATATTTTGCCATACTAAAGTAATGCTGGAGATTTTTTTCTTTTATATCTAAAGTTGTCATAGGAATGGAAAAACCACAAACCCAAGTACAGCTTTTCTGAAACTTAGTAAGTTGGGCAAGTTTGTTCTGGAAGGAAAGCAGATCCTTTCTTCCTCTGCTTTCTTTCCTCTAGTAATGTATTTAATATGCCAAAACATATTGTAATAATTAGTTTATTGCAAGAGGAAGAAATTTGAAGATATTTTTACAATAAATTTCAAGATTTTTCTTGCTGCCACCAAGATTAGTGGTCAACACTAATGGTAGCATTGGTGTCGTAGTTATAGTAATAAATTTTGCCCAATAATTTTGGGTTTGTGCAAACAGCTACCAAAATTCTAACCTAAAAAATATTAGACCTTTATACAACTAAAATCTGGATCTTCATTTAAATTTCCTTTTTCAGGAATTAATCTGTGGATTAATGTAACATCTTTCATATTGCATGCTAATGAAAGGAGCAGTCTGTAAATTCTTGTAGTAGAATTTGAATTGTTCTTTGCCATCAGTTAGCCTCTCTTAATAGGTGCAGACATAATGTAAAACAAAGGATTAATAAATAAATAAAAAGAAATAACCCCCCCAAAACCAGAAAATGGTTTTCTCATTAATTAGTAGAAGAATCTGTGTGCTTCTGCACACAGTATTAGATATTCAAACTAGAAACTTTCTAAGCTCTCATCCTCTCAAATTATGACAGTGCATTTTTCAGAATACAAGGCCATTTTATGTAGATTATATTTTATAGTAATACGATATCAGTTGTGCTGTAATCTGTGATATCATGCACAATGCAATCTGAGATGTCTTTGGTTGAAAGAGATTTTGAGAATAGCTAACTCTTCTGCCCTACAGTTGGGACATTCACAGCGAAGAGCTTTGCCTGATTACCTTAATTAATATTTATATGGCTAATGGGGTGAAACTGGAAGGGTGTAAACTTAGACCAGTTATCAGAAAAAATGTTCCAGTAGTGATATCTGCCTAGAAGAGTTTTCAAAACTGAACAATGACACCAAAAGTTCCTGTCATGTTTTGGGTTTAGTGCAGAGCAGAAACCTCCCAAACTTTTCAGATGCTTACAGAAATAATCAACTTCTGAACTCCATGACAAATGTGGTTTGTGTATAAATTTAACTGTGAAAACGTTTGAGTGGCTTCAAAATTAGAGGGATGGCAAGCACATTGGACACAGTAAAACATCACTTGGAATAATTAGCATAGTGGGTACACAGCCAACAATATGTTCCTCAACCCAACAGATGTGAAGAAATACCTTGAGGAGAGGAAAAAATCAAAACAGATAACAGAAGAAGTGTGAAAAACTCACCATATTAATCATATTAAACCCAGATTTGAGAATGCTTGTGTAGCCATGTATTTCTGTGTAATGGGGTCACCAAGGAGCCGGGGAGGATTTGCTGTTGGAGGACTGAGAAAGGAGCTGGAGGTGGGCTTCAGCCTGGCCGTGGCTGTGGGTGCTCAGGTTGGTCAGGGTGCCACAGCGCTACCTAACTGGGATTGTATTTTCTGTCAATTCTGAAAATTTACCTGATAGTTTCTAACTCAAATATGATAGTACTTATTTCAGTCTGGAAGTTTCTTTGGATGGCGTGTAGCACTGAGTCACTTGCAGAGGTGAGAGCTCACTGCTGGTGATGGCAGTGCCGTAGTTGGTAACATGTGACCTTGTGTGTTGAATGTGTGGTTATGAAGATTTATAAATCCTCTCTTTTCAGACTCCTGCTGACCAAGCGAAAGCTAGATTACAGCTGGTTCTTGAGGCAGCTGGTAAGTGTTGCTATTATAAGTAAAATTATATTCTTCAAAAATGTATTTAACTTTTGTAATATTGGAAAAATGAAACCTATCAAGATAGTAATTTTATCCTTTTATGTTTGGTGAATGCTAAGTCCCTTTCTCTATAGCTCACTTCAATTTCTGGTTAAGATGAAACTGGTGTGCATCATCACTGGCACTTAATATATCCCTTTAAGGAGATAAAAATAAGTAATTTTTGTTTGCTGTTGGAGGACCAGCACTCAGACTTCATGTGTTTGTCCTCTTGCTGCTGCTGCTACTGAGATTTCATTCTGTGCTCTCAAAAATTTGGGTTTGTTTCTTTATTTTTTAGCACTGAACTGAATTAGTGCATGTATATATTTATACTTATTTATTTGAAGTGGTAGCAGAAATATGTAGCAAGCTTTCTGTCCTGGTTTCAGCAGGGATAGAGTTAATTTCCTTCCTAGTAGCTGGTACAGTGCTGTGTTTTGGATTTAGGATGGGAACAATGTTGATAACACATTGATGTTTTCAGTTGTTGCTAGGTAGTGTTTATACTAGTCAAGGACTTTCCAACTTCCCATGCTCTACCGACTGAGAAGGCTGGAGGGGCACAAGAAGCTGGGAGGGGGCACAGCCAGGACAGCTGACCCCAGCTGGCCAAAGGGACATTCCATACCATGTGACATTCCATACCATGTGACATCATGCTCAGTATATAAAAGCTGGGGGAAGAAGAAGGAAGGGGGGAATGTTTGGAGTAGTGCTGTTTGTCTTCCCAAGTCACCGTTACACGTGAGGGAGCCCTGCTTTCCTGGAGACAGCTGAACATCTGCCTGCCGATGGGAAGTAGTGAATTAATTCCTTTGTTTTGCTTTGCTTGCGTGCGTGACTGTTGCTCTACCTATTAAACTGTTTTTATCTCAACCCACGAGTTTTCTCACTTTTACCCTTCCGATTCTCTCCCCCATCCCACTGGTGGGGGGGTGAGCGAGCGGCTGCGTGGTGCTCAGTTGCCAACTGGGGTTAAACCACGACACTTTCCAAAAGGCTCAGATCAAGAGGCTGATCTACATACCTAGTTCCCTACAGAGAGAAACATTCCTATTTAGTCTAGCACTACTAAGAAGAAAGGCCAAGATGCATATCTTGGTAACTATTTTTAATTTTGGAACCTTTAATTTCGGTAAAAATTTGAGAAATCCTATAGTTTCATGGCAGATCTAAAACTTTAAGGAAATTGTTGTCCTATTGTACCAAAGATGAGAAGATCATTCCTTCTATCCTGCCTTCTTTGCAACTGTTGTACCTACATCCACGTTAAAGCTCAGAGATGTAGATCTTCCCAAATGGACAGGAGTTCCACTTCTTTGTTTTTTTGTTTTGTTTTTTACTAATCCAATAGTGTTCAATACACAGCTTTGACATGCACCTCTTAGGTTTTCCCCTGTAGAAGTTGCTGTGGATTTGACCTGTGGTGTAACTTAGACCGAGGTCCGTTTTGCTCCTTGCCACCTTGCAGGTCACCGGCCCTCATGGTGGCATGGTGTGGCAGGACACCCTGCTTTTCGCTGGGTTTGATGCAGAGGTTTTTGTCCTCTCTTCACCCAGTTTCCAAATGGTTATTTAGAAGGGCTGCATCAGTTTTGATGCACTTACACTATGTGTGAAAACATTACCCAAGAACCTTACGCTGTAGTAGGATTATGGTAATGATAATAAATTTATAAATGAATAATGATAATGAGATATACTGGATGTTCTTTGGGTGCTTTCATTTGTCTTCAGATTATTAAAATAACAATTTAATGCTCTAAAGTGGTAGTCTGTGTTAAGGTTTGTAATCCTAATTAATTTCTATATCTTATTTTAATTTTACCATTAAAACTTTGTCAGTTTGTCACATAAAAAGGCAAATTTTCAGTATTTCATATGCATTCTAATAAATACATATTTTTCTTTAGTTAATCTTTCAACTCTCATATATGCGTTTCTAACTTATAAACAGTAATTTCCAAGAAACACCATTTTTTATTTTCCCCCCCTTATGGAAACCTTCTGGTTTAAGGAATACTCATCTTCTCACATTGCTGTGTGGTAAACACCCCCCCCCCCCCAAAAAAATGCATCTAGCCTTTTGTATTGTATAGCTTCAAATGCATTCATTGTTCTCCATACCTTTTAATAAATCTTTAAAGCATATAATTATAAAATAGATGTGACAGCGCTGACCTAAAAAAGCACAATTTGTGTATACCACTCACATCCATCACACCTCATTTTTTAATTTAACACCTGGGAAATTTATAAAAGATACCTATGTGCTGTATATCATCATGACCTGGGTCCCAAAAATTTCCAAAAACATGTAAAAGGTCTATGACGTTAAATTTAAAAATTCACAATTGAAGTCTGAAACTTAGATTGAAGCTGCAGGCTGTTCATAAATAACTCAAGAAAGTTAATCTGTTTGTTTCTCTTACCATTCAAATACAGAAAGAAGTTCTTTCCTGGCTTTATTTAAGTGTTGGTAAGCTCAGGCATTTATGAGATCATCCCCCCACCTTCTTCCCCCAGTCCTGTATTCAATCAATTAAATTGACTTTTTATTAAATTGGTGTGAGAGGAGTGTTGGAAATGTTAATAATGTTGTTTCAATATCTTTTTGTGTGTTTACTCATGGCAAAATGAGCACTTTTTTCACCTTTAAGTTTAAAAAAATAAAAATAAATCTTTGTTAGACCATTACTGAGCAGCTTTTCAAGGACTTCACAATCAACAGGTTAATCGTTGTTGCTGTTGTGGCATGATGTTGTATGATTTAATTGAATATAATGTAAATTTAAATCTGTACTTTAGTAGTGATGAACAAAGCTGTTGTTTGCGTATGTAGTGCTCGATACAGGATCCATCCCAAACTTGTGAATTAACTGGTAGGATATCTGGCTGTGCACATTATAGGAATTGCTCCAATCCCACTAAGTGCGGAAAAAAGCTGTGCTTTATTCAAAATGTATTACCTACATTTTAATGGTTGTTAATGACCCTGTACTTCTCTATGGTTTGGACAAACAAAACAGTCTTACCTTCTGCAGCTGCTCAAAGTTACCAAGTGTTGGAGAGGTGTTTGGGCATGTCCTGTTGTTGTTCATCTCTAGTGACATGCTAGTACGTTGGCATTTCCATTCCCCTTTCCCTGCCATTTCCATGTTGTTAATAGCCGATCTCCCACGATAATCTAACATTTTCTTATATTGTCTGGATTCAAATATATTTGCTCACTTCATTCTGAAGATTTCCCTATCTTTCTATACTTCGAAAGACTTAACCTAGAGAAAATTCACTTTGCTTACTTAGCAAATTTTTTTGTTCTTAATATACTGGAAATGCCTTTGGATAAACAAAACACAAATATAGCAAACGGTACCTAACTGTGTAGGGGGACAACATATATTAAATGTTAATGTGCATAAACTGGAGCTAGTTCGTCTATAATATACCAGTGTTTGCGATAAGAGCAGTCTGACTTTAAATTCAAGCTGATGATGGGTTTCGAAGTTTGCTTACAGCCTTTCCCAGCAATACATTTGTCTAATACTTGAGTTTATAATTTGCTATTCACCATAACATCATGATGTTTCAAATTTAATTTCTTTATTTTACTATCTAAATTTCCCTTTTGTTTAGCCCCATCAAATGGTCTAAATTCCAATGTATCCTTCATCAGTGCTGCTACCATAGATTAAAGCAGTATATTGAAAAAGGGAAGAGAGACTGGGACGTATGTTTGTTGTGTACACGTGGAAAAACTGAATGGGCGTGCTATTGGACATTCACTTTGAGAAAAGAAACTGCCTGTAAGTAATGATACATCTTTGCAACATGTCCCTGCTGAGCTGGAGAAGTTAATTTTATCACATTTGTCTGTGCTGGAAATTGTATTAGAATGTACCTTTAATGACTTATGTTGACTAATTAAGCACAGATAAGGAGTGGCGGCAGTTAACTGCCATCGGCTGGCACTGTGTTGGGAATACTGCCCCACCGGCGCTGCCTGCCCTCTCCTCCAGCCTGTGTGTGAATACCAAGAGTCATGCCGCGTGAGCTTGTTTAGGAGCAATTCTTTATCGTTGATAACTGTTGCATTTGAAACTTCTACGTATGTAGAATTCAGGGAAGACTGTTTTGATGTCAGGGTTTATGTTCAGGTGCTTCCTCCAAATTTGGCTTAGGAACAAATACATATTTGTATGCAATATACGTGCATATATTTTAAGTTGCTTTGTCAGAGTTCGGGATGTCTGAGGATATTTTGTTCAAATTTAAAAGCAGGAATTCCCAACCTTTCTCCAAGCATAGGAAATGTCAGTCCAAGAGCTGGTTGCGCTCTGTTCATGTGAGTTAGGCTAGTAAAACAGCTAACCCTGCTTTCATGCCAACTACTGTAGACAATGGCATTAGCTACAGACAAGAGGCACTTTATAAGGGGCGTGATTTCCAAAAGAATTTAGGTACAAAAAGGTTTAGATAGTCCTTGTTTCGCTTTGTTTTTCTTCTGATGTTTCAGTGAAGTATTTACATGTTAGAGTTGTCTTCTCAATCTGAAGATGTTTGTGTGTATAATTTTTTGCTTTACATCAACCTATTGACATGGAAATTATGTGGCTTTATCCCTGTGGCTTTTTAAGCAAGAGAAAGTGATATATTGAAATACACTAATAATGTTACGGATTTACAGAATATAGGTTTGAAAGTGCTTTCAGTATGTCAGCTTGTATGTACTAGTCCTGTACTAGTACAATGGCCATAGTTTAAAAAAGTTAATTCTACGTTATTGTGTTCCCTTCACTCTTCACTGCTTTCTTCATCACCAGAGATGCTTGATTTTAGGGAAGGTAGGTCCAATGGCCAACTGATC